AATTATTAACGTTATTCAACAATTGCTGTTGAAAATTATTTGAGTAGTAATAAAAGAATTTTACTTGAATAACTGCAATCCAAGGAAGGATTGTAAAAAAAAAAAAAAACATTGGTAGACACGTTTATGATTTGTGGTAGGTCACGAAAACTTGCTTCTGTCAACTTATGATCGACTGGTCTCATCGGATCTCCTTATAAATGTATATATTCTAATGCGGACGTGAGTGATTTTTTAAAAATCGTCTAAAACGTTTTATTATACTCTACTGTGAAAAAAAACTGGTTTTTATTTATTCCATGAATTTTAATATCAAATCAAATTTTTCTCATACGTGTTACATTTCAACAATTCATTTTATTCCATAAATAACTCCACTTCGAATAAATTCATTTTTTCGTTTCCATTCCAAGCAACTATTTCTTTATTTTTTTAAAATTATTAAAAAATGGGGTTTTTAACGAACACTTGTTACTTGAATCCGCTCGTAATTTTACAACATTTCGTTTGATAACGTGTTTGCATTTAAGATAAGTCTTATTTCAAAAAAAAAAGATTCCACTTTTCATGTCGAATTCTATCTGTTTTAGAATATTTTAAACACCACTTTGTAAGGAATTTATTAAATTTCGAAATTTTCAAGGCTCCTTTTCTTTTTCTTTTTTATTCAAAATCTCTCGAAATTATATTAAATTCTCCTCGTTAATTCGAAATTTGCAAGATAAGAATTATGCAAAAAAACATAATAATAATAAAATAATAAAAAAATTAAAAAAATTACGTTTAAATAAAATAATACGTAAAAATAATAGTATTATAATATTGTTAACAATCACAGTGTGAAATATTACGACTGATACGAATGGCGGCACGGGAAGTAATAACATCGATCGTCATTAATATCCGAATTTATTTTGATTTTACGAAGTCGCTTTCCAAACACGGAGCGAAACGGTCGTGTTTCCATTCGCTCCGCGAACGAATATTGTATCGTTTAATTAATCGATGAATTATCGTGCAAAATAATTGTAAATAAATTAAATGACCAATATAAATAAAATTTGTAAATAAAAAAAAAAGTTAGAATAACAAAATAATAAATCGTTACAAAAATATTACAATTGAAATATTATTCGATTTTTTTAATTCTAATATTATTAGATTTCGAAATTTTTAAGGTTTTTTTTTTTTTCTTTTTTTTACTCAAAATCGTTCTAATGTCTAATTTCGTTTGAAATTGAAATTTGTAACATAAGAATTATGTAAAAAAAAAAAAATTTTTGGTACTTGCAACTTTAATCGAAAATCTCTTTTAATAATATCTGGTGACTTCGATGCGCGCACATGCAAATCGTTTTAACTAAATTGAAACGTTTCACAATATATTTATACCAATCAGAATATTTTCAATATAAAATTTTTAATTAATAAGTAATGAAGAAACGAGAAACGATAAATTGTTTTATTCGTGGAAAAACAAAAAAGATAACGTAGAATAATTCGATCTTTCGTGTTATATTAATTTTTCTTATTTTTTCTTATTCTTCGTTTAAGTTAAAATTTAAAAACGAATATTTGCATATTTTAAATATTTGATGTTTATTGTTGGTATTAAAATTTTGATTTGATACATGATTACAAATTTTCTTTCAGTAAAATATTTTTCATTAATTAATTAATTATTGAATGATCATTGATTAACTACTTTGCTATTAATTGCTCATTCGATAACTAACAATAATTAATTGACCATCCATTGTCAAAATAGTTTTAACCTTCTTAAAGACACATTTTTTCCCCTATGATTGCTTAACCACCACAGTTTCTTCTTCCAGTTTATCGTGATACTTCCTATGACATCATAAAAAAGAAGAAAAAATCTTCTTTCTTCGAAGAATGACAATCAATTATTAATTCAATTGGCAAAGACAAATTTTAGAGAAAAGAATAAAAAAAAAAAAAAAGAAAAAATACTGAAATATCGATCCATTCGTTTAATTTACATTTTATAATATATATATATATATAATATTATAGAATTATTGAATTAAAAATTAAACAAATAAATACAAAGTACAGGATGAGATGAGATGAGATAAGAGGTATTACATTAATCGAATGTCGAGATGAATCACAGTCAATGAATAAAAAAAAAATTTATGGTTAAAAAATTCCGTGAAAAAATTTGGCTGAATTGCAATATTATTGATAAAACTAGATTCGAAGCTTGCCACGTAGTTAATATTGAATTACGTGAGAGATTTTTAAAGTGAAAGGAGAAAAATAATGGGATTTGTCGAAAATGGATAAAGATGAAAAGATGATGAAAGAGGATATTCTCTGGGACAAGTTAAAACGAAGAAGAAGAAAGTTTGATCCACGAAGGTTAAATTCCAGCCTTGCAAATCTGCTTGTTTTGTACAACAAGATAAAAGTATAATTTTTTTTTTAACAAATAACGGAACAATCTTTCTAAATTCGATAAAATTAAGTAACGATAGTATTAAATCAATTAATTAGATCACATTAAAATGTCAAAAATTCACAATTTGGAAATTATAATATTTTATAAAATTCTATTAACTATATTTTTTCATATATTCTATAATAATTCAAAAATTGAAAACGCGAAATGAAATGAAATATTTATCTTTTTATAAATGTTCAAAGAAATTTATCATTTTCTAATATCCCTTAAATCATCACAATTAACAAATTACAATTTCTTTATTACACTCACTCAAAGAGTCAAAAGTTGAATGACACCAAAAATTTCAGGCTTTATATAATACATGAATACTAGAAATACGAGAGAAAAAGATTTCTCATCCATATCGTTTAAATCAAAAATCGAATGTTTCTCGAAAATTTCGAATTAAGGAAGAATCAATTTGACGTAAAAAAAAAAAAAAAAAAAAAAAAAAAAATTAATAGACATAAAGCGTGCAATGAAATTCTTCCAAACGCATAAAACCACCATGTGGTTTCTATGGCATTCAATGACTAAACAAGAAAGTTTAAAACTAGGAACAGGTTTCTTGATGGGCAAAGTTCACCTCAACCTGTGCACGAATGAATTTCATCTTCTGCTTCATCTGTGTCCGTGACATGTTTAAACGAGATTACGTAACATAACCTAATCTTCCCCCCTCCGGTTCGACCAGTCCCTCCAAATCCCGTTGTCACGGATTTTAATTGCAAATCATCCGTTTCAACGAATGATGAGCATTGAAAACAGGTATTGTGATGCTGTTACATTTATTCCCTCCATCGATTTTTCCACTCCATTTCCGTTTTTTGGATCACGCCCGATCGCGATAGGTTATGTCAATCATCGTTCGACGTAACCGATATATTAGGGTTTTTATTTCACTAGAATTAATCTCTTTTTTACCAATGTATGGTAAAATTGTTGCAAACGTAGTAATGATTACTATTTTGGCAAAGGATCTGTATAAATGATTAATAATTAATGATAAATGGTTTTCAAAAATGATAAAAAATACAATTTTAAAAAATTTTTTTTAATAGATATTAAATTGAAGTTTTTATAAAATTTTCAAATCTTACTTAAAAGTTAATCTTTATATCTATCTCAATATTTTTTTTCGTGTAAATTTTGGCTTAATTCAACGCTAATGTTTTAAAGTTTCTTAAGATTCATCAATATAATTATAATTGATATATAATTAATTCGATTAATTTTCATAACATAAATAAATTGCTAAAAATTATAATTTAATTCCTCGTTTGTAAATAAAATCAGAAAAATAATCAATGATACTTGTAAGATGTCTTACATAAACTGACCTTAATCTACTTGCACCAGAAACAAGAGAAAGCAATAATCTAACTTGTTTTCATTTCAATGATTGATTCTCAAATTCGAAAGAATTTATAAAAAAAAAAAAAATATTACGTTTTATATTATAATTTGAATATATTTTCACAAAAAAAGAAAATGATAAAAACCAGCTTGTAACAAATGCACAAAAAGTAAAGAAATTGGAAATAACAATATATACAATATTAATATTAATTAAAAATTAATAAGTAACCTATTGATATAATACACAATCATTGAACAAAACAAGTAATCGTTCATAATAATAGATTACAAAAAGATCATTATTAAATCATAATTCTCAACATTAGAAGAACCCAATAATTAACGTTTAAATAATATCCTAAAAAATATGAATATATCTATAAAAATTACTCTTTTTGCTCGATGAATAAGAATAATTGTGATGACGTATTTCCATCTAAAGTTTTTTTAAAACAAACTGTCGAAAAAATTGCTCCACAAAAAATATTGCAACATCCTCTCTCACCTCATAAATTTTTCCTCTGAACATAATCAAGATAATATTTCACGTGAAAATTACACGTATCATAAAGAAAAAAAAAAAAAAAAAAAAGAAAAAAAAATACAAGAACACGAACGTGTTATTTAATAAAAAAAATTTTCAAAATTAACTAGAGCATCAATTACCCTGTTTTCTCCTGTTTGAAAGATGAAATCTTTTTAAAAAAAAATTCCGAGAAGAAAAGTAATCATCGAATTGTTGCAACACCACCATGTGTATAACACTTACTTAATTGATCATCCTTTCAAAATGAAAAAAAAAAAAAAAAAAAAAAAACGACCGATAATAAAAATTCCTAATAATAAAAATCCCTTCATCTTCTACTTCCTGAGAACGCAACAATCGGAGCTCCCTCTCCTCCTCCTCCCCCCCCCCCTCCACCTCCTCCCCAATCAACGAACGACCTTGGCCGAAGGGTGCACACGTACGAGAGTTATGCTTATTTCCCTTTCTCCATCTCGAGGCCTCTGGTGGTAGGAAAAGAGACCTTGACTCATAGCACGAGATTTTCAGGCGATCACCTAAGGCCCACACACCCCCACCCCGCCGACCGGACCCCACTTGCTTAACCAATACTTAAACCGCTACTTCGCTCGGCCGCGGACTATTCACGCAGCATCGACCGTTGGACCCACATTTGATACACATACATATGTATATATATATATATTTATATATACATATACACACATATAAATATATATATATATATATACGCGTGTCTTCGCGTGTGAACGCGTGCACACACTCGTATTCCATATTTATACAGACGTGCGTTTTTAACCCCTTTCGCGCGTAAAAATAAATAAATAAATAAATAAATAACAAGTGTACATATAAATCGTGAATTGTGGGTACGAGTGTTGATAGGAATTGACTGATTTTTTTTTTTTTTTTTTTTTGCGAAGGGGAGGAAGATTGTGAGGATGATGAGTCGAAGAGGAAGAAGAGGAAGAAGTGAATGTTTGTAGTATATGTGTAAAAAGGGAAGATCCTGTTGAAGAAGAATTTTTTAGAATTTGACAATTCCAATATTTGAGGGGGGAGGGGGGAAAGAGTTGAAAGGTTGGGAAGTTAAATATTGAGGAAGAAGGAAGATTGTGATTTGTGTCTCTCTCCTAGAGAGGAGATTGTGAAAAGAGAATCTATATTGAGAGGAAAGTGAGATTGAAATCCGTTGGGAGAGAAGGAAAAAGAGGGAAGAGGAAAGATTGTGAACAAAGGATTCACTTAGGAGAGGGAAAATTTGTGAAAATTTGTGTGAATAGAGAGAAAGAAAAATTGTGAACAAGGAATCTATTAAGGAGAGATAACAGAAACAATCCAGAGAAAATCTATTTGTGAACTAGTGTAGAGAATCCATTGAAGAAAAAGAGAAGATATTGAAGAAAAGCAAAATATTGAATAATTTCTAAAGGAAAGAAAAAAAATTGTGAACAAGAGATCAAAGAGATAACAGTGTACAGATAAAGTGCAAAGAAGAATTAGAAGAGCTTTATCCATTTGAATTTCTAAACGATTCAAGACATTGATCGATAAAAGAAGGAATAGGGCTTAATTTTTTCTTGGATCTGTCAAGAGAGAAATTAGAAATTGAAATAATATTGAGGCCGATACGCGAAGGTGGAAAGGATTGCTGGTATTTTCCTCGAGAAGAACGACGTCGTTTTCGTTGGTGAACAGGTAAGCCGTAAGCATCATTATTCCTTTGACGCGTGTCAAATTGCATTGGTCGCGCTATATGAATGAACAAATATGGGCAAATTGGTGAAAAAAAATTCTCATTATGGAAATAGGATTAGAGAAAATCAAATTTCTCGAACTCGACCTAAATTCGTTGAAGATCGAATGAAAACTGGTATTATATATGGTGGCATGTGCGATTAATTTGATCTTATGACCTGATAAATGTTATGTTCGTTGATTTGTAAAGACAGATTCGAGGAACAGGTTCCGTTATACTTTCCCATAGGATCGACATAAAAATCAAATTATCTCGAATGAATGATTAAAATTTAAATAAGGTATATAAAAATTAAAATATTTTAATTTCTAGTAATATTATATCTAGTACAAACGATAGTATTTATTATTTAAATTTAAATGCAATAAGTATCGATCGTTTTTATTTTATATATCGTTAATTAAATATATCTTCCGTTTTTTTTTTTTATTTTATTTTCTTATTCCGCAATGAAATACTCGTTGAATAATATCCACTATTTGATAATATAGTATAATTACATATTATATAATATAATAATATTACAAGTGCTATTCTGAAATTTTTATTATTTTTAAGAATTTTGTTAAAATATCCTAAATAATATATAATAATATTTTAAATACTATTCATTTATATAATTATTATTTTCAAAAAAAAAACTCATTTGCAATATATTAGTATAAGTTATATTACTTAAAAAAAAAAAAAAAATAGGTAAAAATACTTATTTACAATTAATCCTTTACAACAAATTATTTTCTCCATTTCGATATATATTTCACATATATATAATTGTCATACGATATGCCTCACTTAAACATGTATTACAATAATCGAATGATTAGTTAGCACGTAAAAGTAATAATTGAGACACGAAAAGTGGATTCTGTGGCACGTGAAAGAGAATCAATCGTAAGGCACGATCGTGTTCATTATGCATGACTAAAGATATATCGAATATAGAGAAGTGGATCGAGGATAACAAAATTAAATTAACCTAACAAATATGAATAATGTATAATATATAAATATAATATATAAATATATAGAATAATAAATAAGAATGTTGAAATAGTGAAATGGCGAAGAGAATTGCAAGACGGCGTATAATTACAGTATAATTAGAAACAAAATATTTATATTTAAATACAGTATAATTAGAGATAAAACGATAAAGACAATCGGAAATATTCGGCTGTCTTCGGCAACAATCGTCGTTGATTGTCAATCGTCGATCAGTAAAAATTGAATTAACGCAACGTGCAGTCCAACTAATAATATTTTGTGAAATATTAATTAGTTTAACTTTATTATATTTAGTTTAAACAACGTCCTTTATGGGATCAAAAAGATAAAAATCATCGTATTTACAGATATATATTGGATTTAACATAGGAAGTTACAATAAAAACGTGGAAAGTTAACCTTAATGAGCATAGTCATACTCTCATCCTAATTGAAGTGAAGCTTTCAAATAGTCAGATTCAAATCTTTTGATTTCAAATAATTTAATTAATTTGAAAAAGGATTTGCAAATATATAATCAATTGTTATTAAATTATCGAGACAATTCAATGAAATTAATTATCTGGATACAATGTTTCGAGTAATTGTATCTCAATCTGTGTAACTTGATTGTGTATTTTGAATTAAGAAAAATATCACGAACGAAAATTTCACGAACTCATTGTTTACATGCAAACATCCTGCGCTTATCATTCAGATCGAACGTTTCGAGAGAGTTGCAGAATAGAGTTTTACACTTTCGAGGGTAGCCATTCGTGAAATTTTTATTGTGAAACATCGTGAAACGAGTAAAGTCGGTTGTTTGGACAAAAATAATTAGTCGACGATACGAAACTCGATCAAACGTGCACTATATGGAACGATTTCACGTTACGTCTGATCAGTTAGGGGTGTGTTCTACTTGAGAAAGTAGAAAAGAAGTATTAGTGATATTATTCCAACGTACTTCTCACTTTTTTACTTTTCTTACAATATCGTATCCATTATTATTCTTCTTCTTTGCTTTTTTTTTTAATTTTAACTCTTCAATCATGATTTTTTCAAAACAATAAACTAATAAATATTTAAGTGTATCCAATCAAAAATTTCACGTATACTTAAAAATATATATTAATTACTAATATTATTATAACATAACTGTTAATTTTTCTTATAATAAAATATTATAATATTACAATAGTATAATTTCTGATCTTTGTATCACAATTTAAAATTTTTATCAATATTGCATTATTATCTTTTTGTAAAAATTTTTTTAAAATTTGTAACAAAAAAATCTGTATAGTATATTAGATCGTTTAGAAAAATTTCTCAATTTCGAATTTTTACAATTCATCGGAAAATTTTTAATTGGAAATTTTTTTTCTTTTTAATGATTATCATTGACACGATTACAGAAAAATAACCAAAAATTTTCAGAAATCTCAAAGAAAGAAAAAAAAAAATAAAAAATAAAAAAAATCCTCAAGTTGACCAAAACTGTCTAAACGTCCCATTTACCCTTCCTCTAAAGAAAGATCATTTTTTTTTTTTTGCTTCCTCACAAAAACATTCTTCGTTCGAAAACGGTGAAAAGTTCGTTCCAAGATTGGTAAAAGTGTCACCGCTTTGCTGGCCATTCCATCAACGCACGACGCGTAATTATTCGTAAACCAATTTCTCCTCCAATTACATCTGTGGCAAGTGATAAGCAGTTGTAAGTTTCGAGGCAAGTTTCGTGGATAAGATTCTGTTCTGACGGAATAAAAGAGGTCAGGCATTCTTTTTCACCGACATTCCTTTCGAATCGTCTAAAATCAGGATGCGCCGTGGCATACTTTTGCTCGAATACAAGAATTTCTTGGCATTTTTTTTTTTTCTTTTTTTTTTTTCACGGAAATTCGTTTGTCCGTAATTATCGAGCGAGATCAATTGTGGATCGCGAGAAAACGAAAAGAAAGAAGAGTATCTAGAATCTCCTCCTCCTGTGTTTGCGCACTGTGCACATACAGGTGGATTTCATCTCTTTGCGCTTGGAATTCCATCCACGAATATTGCAGCACGATTTATGAACATGTTTACGAAATTCTTCTTTTCCTCTCCTCTTCTTTTCTGATAATTGTTCCATCGTGGGTATTTTTCATGAGAGGAAATAGTTACGTGCCTGTATCATCTCCTCACTGGATTATCGTTTAAGTTGATCCTTAACTAGAATTGCAAAGGGATTCGCAAAGAAGTTAATTCTTAGAGTTCAAAAAAGTAGTTTTACAAATACATGATACAAGTCGTTAGATTCGTTCTAAAAATTTGCATGATATAATTGATACTTGTGTAATAATATTATGCACATCAATTGTTAATCAGATCACGAAATAGGAGCAAGAGAATTTCGTAAAATATTATTCTGATGCATGGAATTTCTCTCGGTTTGTCGGTCCTAGTGATTTTTCGCCCTCGTTTTGAATTTCCCGCGTGTAAATTTCTCCAGAACGAGTAAAAATCCAGGAATTTAATTGCTAATCTTGACGAATGTGAAGCTTTGAAAAATTGATGAGTTATAAATTAAATTAATTACAAGAAGATTAATTACCGGTTTTTGCATAAATTATATAAATAAACATGATACGCATCGCTGATGCGAGTCGAATTAATTTTCATAAAGATGGATCCTACTTTTCCTTATAAAGCAAACTTGTACGATTGATGAACTTGTGATTAACTGTCATACTTTCTGTCTATTTAACTGTTGCTTTGAATTGCGAAATTAATCCACCAATTTATTAAATTTCGGTTCATATGCATATCTTTGTCTAAAAAAAGTCTTAATTTAAGATTTTTTTCATAAGAAATATTTGTATCTTATTTCAGATTATCACTGAACGTTATACATTCAATACTATAAACTATAACATCTTGTATTTAATTCAATAAAAATAAATTTTCTGGTATTGATTTATTTTGTGATATCTAGTTGCACAAATCCATATTCTCATTTCTAATATTTTTCTTTCTCGTTTATCGCAAAAATTTAAAGAGAAAATTCTCAAAACGCTTAAACAAGATTTTAAAATTTATTCACGTGTGCATTTTTACGACAAATGAATTTGAAGTAAAGTATTTTATTTATTATTTTCATTTCGAATTTCATCATTATTCTAATTTCAAGACATATTCTTATTATGTTTTAGAAAAACATATATAATTTATTTTAAAAAAAGAAAAAAAAATTGCTTAAAAATTAATAAATAAATACATTCCGTATTAGTAGTTAATGGTCAACGTGGCGCTAGTGTCGCGTCGTTGCTCTTCGTATTATTAATCCACTGCTATACGTATGCAATACATAAAATCGATATTTCTCTGTAATTTTACAAACCATTTGTAATATAAAATGATTTTCCAGTTAGCCTATAATTGTTTCAATTTCATCATAAGTTCTAAGAAACAATTCCTTTTTTTTTTTTTTAACAAGCTAATTGCACCTCGTTTTCCACGAAAAAGTAAAAACCGTATCAAGCACTCGCCTGGTAACAATTCCATTTGACAAGTGATCACACAAGGTGTTTAGAACAATCCTGATGTACAATTATCGCGTAATTTATCGTATGGTTTGACGAAATACTTTTATCCTTCGTTGTTGCAGTTAAACAAGTTCTAAATCTTTTGCTATCGTACAAAACTTTTTGCTATCAAAAGTTTATCTTTACTTTGCCGTGTATTTATCGAATCAAATAATTAAAAAAAAAAAGTATTTTCATTGTATTTATCGTATTCGAATACAGCGTTTCGTGTTTATTTCACTGTAAGAATTTAACGTTATGAATGATGACTTAATGCTGTAGGTAATTTGAAATAAAAAATTTAACGAGGCAATTTGATTTCTGATTTTTGATTTTCTTTTTTTTTTTTTTTTTTTGCTAATTCTATTCGTAAAAACTAGATTTTTGTTCCT